TCAGATGGAGTTACTTGGAGGCAGCAGGGAGAAGAGAGCTTTGGTGGCCCCCACGACAGCAAGACCACTAATAGGGTTCCCGTGGACCCATGCAGGAGCGAGGAGCCAGAACACAGCTGTAAAAGGGGAGCCATTCAGAGGCCGGTAAGTCATCACAGGGGACCGACACAGGGCCTGTCCCATGGGAAGTGTTTGGAGCATGGGTGGTGGGGGAGACAGACCCACTGGGAGAACACTGGGATACAGCAAGGACAGCCAATCTGCCCCCCAATCAGCTCAGGAGCACTCAGAGGAGACTGGTCAGGAATGCAGAATTGCATGGAGTGCTGATTGATGAAAAAAGACAGGCCCAGATCAGAGTTTCTACACAACCCAGGTGCACCGTGTCTATGGAGAGCCAGAAGTATCTATAAGGTCAACCATTAAACCCTGAGCTACACAAAAAGCCTTCTCTAGGGAAACAGCAGCAAAGCAACAATTTAGCTCAATCACACAGCTCAAGTACTGGTTCCCACAGGAAGTTTCCCCATTTTATAAGTAAGCAAAAGACAAAAAATTAGTTCTGGCCAAGGCACACCACCAGCACCTTGGAGCCCGCCAGGGGACATGAGGCATGGAGCCAGGGTCCAGACCACACTCCCAAATCCAGGCATACTGCCAGTACCTCGGGGTCCACCCAGGGGCCTGGGGCATGCAGCCAGGGACAAGACCCCCCTCCCACAACCAGGCACACTGCACAAGCTCTTGAGGCCTGCCCAGGGACCCAAGACATGGAGAAGTGGACCAGACCCCCCCTCCCACAACCAGGCACACCATGCCAGTGCCTCAGGGCCCACCCATGAACCCGAGACATGGAGAAGTGGACTGGATGCCCCTCCCAAACCAGGCACACCATGTCAGTGCCTCAGGGTCCGTCCAGTGACCTGAGGCATGGAGAAGAGGACCGGACCCCCCCCCCCACAACCAAGCACACCATGCTAGTGCCTTGAGGCCCACCCAGGGACCAGAGGCATGGAAAAGTGGACAGGACCCCCTCCCACAACAAGGCACACCACGCCAGCGCCTCGGAGCCCACCCAGTGACCTGAGTGGACAGGACCCCCACCCACAATCAGGCATACTGCACCAGTGCCTCGAGGCCTGCCTGGGGCCCTGAGGCATGGAGAAGGGGACCAGACCCGCCCCCCCACAACCAAGCACACCACGCTAGTGCCTTGAGGCCCACCCAGGGACCTGAGGCATGGAGAAGGGGACCAGACCCCCCTCCTACAACCAGGCACACTGGGCCAGTGCCTTGGGGCCCACCAGGTGACCCAAGGCATGGATCTGGGGACCGGACCCCCCACCCCACAACCAGGCACACCATGCCAATGCCTCGGGGCCCGGCTGGGGGCCCACCTGGGGACCAGAGGCATGGAGAAGGGGAACGGACTCCCCTCCCAGAACCAGGCACACCATGCTAGCGCCTTGGGCCTGCCCTGGGTCCCAAGGCATGGAGAAGGGGACCGGATACCCCTCCCACATCCAGGCACACTATGCCAGTACCTCAGGGCCCACTCAGGGACCCGAGGCATGGAGCCAGGACCAGACACTCCCCACAACCAGGCATACTGCCAGCACCAAGGAGCAAGCCAAAAACATCAATTCCATGTGGGTGGCCCACCACAGCCACCACAATAACCATGGCTGCTATGAAAACTGGTAGATGCCACAACCACTATGCAGATGGTCTGCCCGACACAAGGAGAGTCACCAGCAGAGATAAAGAAAAGAAGAGGATGTCTCTCTCCACAAAGCCCATTTCAGAGTGACAGAAGAAGCATCTGCTCTATGATAATACTGGGGGACCTGATCACACCTCTCAGCATTGGACAGATCACCTAGGCAACAAATCAACAGAGTAACCATTATTCTTACAGAAGGAAAGAAGAAATCTAGGATAATTAGAAGGGCGAGCGGGGAGGGCGAAGGGCATGTGGAGAGATTGGACAAGGGGCATAAAGAATAATTACAATTTGTAACAATATATATGCTAGTAATATTGATTTGATCAACATATCTCAATGTTGAACCCCAAAATATGCATAATCAATTTTGATTCAATAAAAATTTTAAAAAACAAAATAACCAAAACACCTCCCCATGACACCTTGTTTTTGTTCATTTACCAATTTTCCATAAAAGTATAACGAAGCATAGGTAATTGTATTATATCCTGTGCAGTGTAACACAACTACCTTTTTATGAAATTAAACAGTGGACTGAATCCTGACACTATCTTCTTCCAAATGCTTTCATTGTTCTCTGGTAAAATCAACTTTGCTTCTCATTATTATCAATGACATTCATCTCTTCCCTGGCTTTCAAAACTTTATCCAATTTCATGAACTAGAAGCTTATCCCCACTGTTCTTTCTCCCTTGCACTGTTTGTTTATGGCATGTATCTCACTTAATTTCAAAAATATATGATGGCATGAATGGGGGAAGACTTATTCCACATGTTTTCATTTTACCATAAATAGAAAGAAGACAACATGTCTGCTAAATGGGGCATCAGGTCCAAATTTTTTCCAGTCCCACTTCATATTTTATTTTGACAAGAATTTCACACCTAAGCAACACTGGTATGAGAAGACTCAAAGTCCCATATAGTACCTGTATAGGATCAATTTTCTCATAACTCCTATAACATTTTACTTTTTAAAAACCCTTGTTCAGTTGGCCGGTTCGCTCAGTTGGTTAGAGCGTGGTGCTGATAACACCAAGGTCCAAGTTTCAATTCCTGTACCGGCCAGCTGCCAAAATAAACAATAAATAATAAATAAATAACAATTTTAAAAATTTTTAAATTCTTGTTTAGAAGTTAACTCACAAAAATAGCTACCAAGATGAAGGACAAATATTCCCAGATAACAATACCGCTCCATTAGAGGAAATTCTACAACTTCTAGAAGTTGCACATAGTAAGGACGCAATAAATGTTAGCCATTATTATTCAAAAAATATGAATTAAATATTAACTATTTTCTAGGCACTATGCTAAGTAGAAACAAGTAAAATAACTCAACCCTCAAGGAGCTCACAACCTAGAGTTGTTTACAGCCTTAGTGAAAATATACATGGTTCAGTAGACTATATTTGTTCATAAAAATCTTTTGTAATCTAAAAGCATTAAGCCAAAGACTTTTTGCAAGAAAAATATAAATTGCTTTTCAGTTTTGTTACTTAAGAAATTATTGTATAGAAAAGTAAACTTACATCTAACAAAACAATTACTCTTCTATCCCAAGTCAGGTATAAATCCCAGGGCAGGATAAATATATTTTTTTCTTTCTTTTTACAGCAGTTTTAGTTTTACAGAGAAATTGAGTAGAAAGTATAGACAGGCCCCATGCCCTCCCCCTCAATGCACATATACAGTTTCTCCTATTATTGACATGTTACATTGGTCTGGTACATTTCTTAAAATTATAAATCAATATTGATATACTGTTATGAACTTTATATATATTATATTGTATTATATACAATATTTAAGCTCAAGTGTTCTAACATGCCTTTACTTATTCCATAACTTACATTACTTAAAATTTTGAAAGAATATAAACTCTACGGTACAAACAACATAAAGGAATCAATTACTATACTGATTGAATAATATTTTCCCTACTTTCTCTTTATGAATTATGTATAGATGTTCATTTTTTTGTCCTTGAATAAAATAAAACTTGAAAAATTATTTTCAACCAGTCACCTAGATTTGTAATATTTATTACTGTACCAGCTATAGTCTTCTCCACTGTATTCTAGCTTAACTTGTTGCTATATAGATAAACCCTTGAAAGAAACACAGAAAGGTACAGGAGCTTCTTGAAATTACACATGCACACACATGAAAGTTATTTTATGCCTTCAGGAACGTACTACCTCCACCAAGTACAGATCGCTGCTCCTCCACACAGAGTGATGCTACTCATCACTCCCTCTGCCCCTTACACACACGCGCGCGCGCACACACACACACACACACACTCACGCACACACACACACATTCGTTCCATACTCTTGGGATGTTAAAGGAATATGGGCTTTGGAGTCAGACACAGTAAAGTCAAATCCCACCTCTGTAGCTCAGAAACTGTTTATCAAGTCCAAGATCATTTGTGTTCAAGTATTCCTTTACTACAAGAAAATTTGCTTTTATTTTTGTTCTGTTTAGCAACTTTTGCTAAGAAAAATCGTTCCAAAAGCCCAAGGACACTAGAAACCAAGAGTCAATGTACTTAATATTCTCCTCGTTTTCAAAGTGCTTTCCTAGGAAACATGAGGGGCACCTGCAACAAAGGCCACAGGGGGCATTTACCAGAGTGTTTAGTGTATTATTATTTGGTAAATTTTGCATTTATGTTTTAGATACTTCTCTATATGTGCATTATATATTACAAAAAAAAAATAATAAAACAAAATGTAAAATTGCCTCCCTACCCTGTCATCCTCAGTAAAATGTATTTTCTATCAAATGTTAAAAAAATAAAGCCTTTCTTCATGTACTCCATATGATATAGGATAAATAACTTCCTATTCTGCATATAATTTAGCATAATTTACTCCAGCCAAAGTTAGCTAAGGACTTTTTTTTAAAAAAATGAGTTTACGCTTGTTTACAATGAGGCCTAGATTAAAAAACAGAGAAAATATTAAAACACCTTTAAGCAATTTGTGATAAAATCATGATGACCTACATAGAGCAAATCACTCTAAGTAGGTAATATAAATGAAAGTGGTTGCCTTTTTGTCTTTCAAAAAGACCAAAAGGAACTCTATAATCTGACTCCCTAATAATTTGTGATATTCTACATGCATGGAAAAAAAAAAAAAAAACAACAACTTCAAACAAAAAGTCATTACTACCTGTCAAAGAATAAACTAAAAAGGAATGTCTCAGCCAAGAAATTAAAACGGAGCTATGTGCCCATATCAAACAAAAATCTGCTACATACCTTGATCAATACAGTTTTCAGCGAGAGCAAAAAGCTCAGGTGAGCGTTCCTCAAGCAGTTGCTGGTGAATATTCACACATCTCAAAGTCCACCATGGCAAGCTCTACAAAAAAAGCACCATGCAAGCTGAAATAAAAAGACACTTTGGAAAAAAATGTTTTACGTTAACTGAGTTTAATTTTTAGCATTTTTTTTCTACATTCATGAATTTAAATTTATTCCTCAATAAGCTTACCCATCCACTGCTACATTTTCAGTAATAATACCAAAAGCCATTTCTATGTCTTCCATAAGAGTAACACCTCACTTCCATTCCCTCAAAGCCTGTGTTTATTTTAGCCACTTGGGTTTTCTGATGCCATTTCGAACTTCCCATCTCCTTTAAAATGTTTGTTATAATCATCCTGCTTTGCTGTGGCACTCCATTGCCACCATAACCCATGTACCAACTCCTCCAGGAGGCCTCTGGCAAGAACCCCCACAATGAAGGTGATTTTTCCCTTGCCTGAACTTCCAGCACATTATTGGTACTTCCCTTTGCAAACACATTCCACCGTTTGTCACCCCAAGGTTTCAGTGTTGTGCACCATCAATCCAACAAGATGGGAAATCATGTCTTACTCTTCTCTATCCTCCTCAAAGCAATGAATTCTGCACAAACTACACAGTAAGAAATACCTTGGATTCAGATATTCCCCCAAACTGGGAAGATTCCTTCCATACCCAAATAAAACCTCTTTCATGAAGCCCTCTCCTACTAGCATGGCCCACATAGACCTCTTGCTTCTCTGAACCTCTACACTCTTCCTAGAAGTTAGTAGCACATAAGATAAAACTGGGAAGATTCCTTCCATACCCAAATAAAACCTCTTTCATGAAGCCCTCTCCTACTAGCATGGCCCCCATAGACCTCTTGCTTCTCTGAACCTCTACACTCTTCCTAGAAGTTAGTAGCACATAAGATATCACTTTTTTTTTCAACTGTATAACTCTACCTGTACCGTACATTTCTGAGGGTAGTGACTGCATTTTACACATTCTCTTTGTTAATATACAGGCTAATAAGCACACAGCTTTTTCTTTATTCTACGATGCTTTTTCTTACTTAATCAAAACATTCTCACTTAAAAAAAAGAACAAAAAACAAAAAACAAGAATCAACAAGTCAGTATAGAAACATATACAGTGAAAAATGAAAATTTCTCTTCCACTACCCTATGGCATCCTCCTCCCACAGAAAAATCCATGACAAAAGTTTATATCCTCCTAGACCTTCCTCTATGCATGTGCACATGTGTATGTGTATGGACGTTTACAAGTTACAACGGGCATTTTTGATAGGCTCGTTATAGCATCAAGTATGATCATGTACTGAATCATCTAAATTAATTATAACTATGTTACTCTGAATTATATGAAGGGGTAAAAAATTAATTTTCCTTTTTTTAATAGCAATACTTACTAATAGGAGATCACACTTAGTTACCAAAGGAATTTTTTTACTAAAACTTAATTTCTTAATTTGATTAAGAGGTTCCCTTCTAAACTGCTACACACCACAACTGCTACAACAATGGGGCAACCACGAATGAATTTTGACTTTACAACAAAATCCGGTCTAATTATTAACGCTGCTTCTTCAGTCCATGTAAGGAAAGATAGAAGTATCTAAAAGAAAGGAAGTTTAAGATCATAATTAATTTAATTTAATTTCCTGAGCTGTCGCCTCATTTTCATTCTTTCCCTGAGGAATTTTTACTGAGGCTAATGAAGTCAGTCTCCATTTCAGTCATCTGTCCCTTATCTGCTGTAGCAACAAGTCAGGTTTGGCAGCTTATTCTTTCCTTTTCTAGACATGGGAATTTAGATACATCTAGTCAAAAAGATTGCTCTTTTAAGAAAACATGACACAAGATGGTGAACTCTTAAAAATCAGAACTATAAATTAACTCTTAACCCAAAATCTTTATATGGGAGAGGGGAGTGTAAATAAATATGGAAAGCATAGCCTATTTTTCTACTGGAAACGTCCCTTTCCTATTTGCCAACAATTACTTAATAGAAAAATCAAGGCATTAACTAAGAAAGGAAACTTGAAGCCTTGCTTTAGACAGTTTCTAGATCCTATCTCCTGATTACAGCACTTATTTCAGAATTGCCCATTCGAGAAGTCACACTAGTTAAGAAACTCCTAAATGGCAGAGAGCAGTAGTACAGTCAAAAGGCACTCAGTAAATGTTTGCCAACTTATTTCATTTTATGAATAGAAAACTGATAGAGAAATTAACTAGCATATGAGGGGTCTTCAAAAAGATCATGGAAAGATTTGTATTATCTTTCAGAATTGAAAATAGAATTATTTTCCCATGAACTTTCTGAAGGACCCTCATAAGGTCACATAGCTGTTAAGTGGCTAAGCCTGTCAAACTGTGATCTGCTTTGAAAGCCAAGACTCTTTTTATTCAACATTACATGTTACTAATTCTACTCTATATACTTCACAGATTAGGGGGTGGGAGAAAATCATCTTCTTTCACAGTTCCACAAAAATTATACCATAATAAACAACTTGATAATTTCTTAGGAGTCAGGCTACTCAAAAATTAATTTCAAAGGTTAAAATTAATTTGGATAAGTATGTGATGCTTCTTTACGATTTTATCTTCATCAAAGCAGCTATTTTTAAGATCATCAAGAAAATGATATAGTAAAGACCCAAAGGAAAAAAACTGTAGTAGAACAAATAATGTTTCGATTGAAAGGCAAGGTTTCAGCACAGAATGATATTTGCATAGTGATGTACTATAAGAAAAAAGGTTTCATTGAGATTCATTTGAGCTGTTGAGTGTATCAGTTCATTACCAGGTGCTGCTGTTCTTCTGTATAGATGTACCAGTTTATTTACAGACTGAAATTCTTGAAGTTTGGAGAGACTTTTTTGAGAGATGGGACAGTGGGGTGCAGGAGCTGGTTTAAACTGGCTCTTGAGAGCCAACTGTTGACTTTGCAGAAATTGTGCTGGCTTGTTATTAAATGCAGCCGTTGAGAAGTTAAATTACATTAAAAGGTAGTAAATACTTAAGGGTCAAAAAAAGAAAGAAAGAAAAAATAGGGTTTTAAGCAGAAGTCAAAACTATTCAGCATCTGTCAAGAAATTAAGGTAACTTGCTCTCCAACCCTACGAAGTATGACATACACAGCCAGCAGTTCACATATTTACTAATTCTCCTAAGCTGTTGATAGTATATGTATTATTTTTCAGATGATGTTTAATATACATTTGGAGATGAAAGTTTTGATCAACAAAACTTAAAACTGTCTCACTCACTTATTAATGACCGTGTCTCACTAGAAAGAAAATAAAGTTTGATAACCTCACGCCTTGGTGATACTTTTTTTAGAGCAAAGAAATAGTCTATAAGACCATTTAACTCACATCAGCTTGGGGAAAAAAATTTATTCAAGCTACTGTCACTAAACGATCAAAGATCAGGCCTCATATCTGCCAAGTCATGTTGAAATCCATTTATCAAAAACCCTTCTAGTACAGCTGATTCCAAATCCTCGGGCTCAAGTGAGAGTTGCTCATAGAGGCATCACTTCCCTTCTTACCTCTTCTTTAAAACACAGTCATGTCTAAACCTAATGCTTAGGAAAGTCAGCCCTTACACAGTGCACATCAAGTCAATATTTTGCCTATAGAAATATTTTGTTTCTTAAAAATTTTTAGCCAACACTTCAAAATTGGGAGATTTCACCTAAAATTTAGATTTACTGCTTCTGACAGTATGGGGTGTGCATCAAACCAAGTTTCAACAATCAGACAGAGCAGGGGTCAGCAAGTTACAGCCAGGGGGCCAAATCCAGCCCACTGCTTGTTTCTGTACAGCCCAAGAACTAAAAAGTTTTTACATCTTTAAATCATCAAAGAAAATCAAGAATATTCTGTGACATGTGAAAAGTATATGTAATTTAATTTTCAATGTCCACAAATAAAGCTTTATTGGAACACAATCATGCCCATTCATTGACTTATTGCCTACGGCAATGCAGCAGAGTTAAGCGGTTGCACAGAGACTGTACATTGCACAGCTGACAATCTCCATTAACCCTCCAAAGACTTTCTTCATATCTCTTGTGGTTTTGGTCAACTCCTACTGCATATTAGCTTTCTGTGAGTAAGGGTGTTTCTCCTCACTAAGTTATATGTGACTTGAAGAAACCATACAACAAATGCTCTGCTAAATCCAACCCAAATAATGAAACAAGGTAGGATGGGGGCCAGGAAACAATAAGTAAGATTCTTGCATTCTGGCCACTGCTCATTAACCTTACATGAAATTCATAAAAGACTGTGAAGGATGTTTTTAAATCTATATTTAAGACTCTGAGAATAAACATTTATACACACACACACAACACAATTGTTGGGTTTTGTTTGTTTTTTTGGCAGCTGGCCAGTGCAGGGAATCAAACCCTGGACCTTGGTGTTATCAGCACCATGCTCTAACCAACTGAGTTAACCATTCAGCTCTCACACACACAGTCCTATTAAGGAGGCTCAGTAAAATCTCAGTTTATACAAGATGAATCACAAGAGGAGAAAAGTTACTTATATTCATCAGATTTTAAAATTACATACCTAGAAGAAGATTTAAAAAACAAAATATACCAAGACATCATTAGCATCACACCTACAGTCTGATGCTAATAAGCACAAAAGTCACACCTGGGTATAAATCTCATGGATCTTTTTCTTGCCTTACCTGAATAGCTGTCAGTTTATGTCGTACATTCACAAGAATAATGCGAGCTAATAATAGCAGTATGGGCTTTGAGGTCAGGCTATAGATTGATTCACCGTCCAGAATGAGCAGGCTCAGAACAACTGCATCCAGTCCTTTGACCTGAAACAAAGTTTGTAAGCTAAGATGATATAATTTAACAAAATATTCATCTTTATATATCTTACAGATTTTCCAATCAATTCAGCTTTGGAAAAAAGGCATTAATCTATTAAACAGCAATTGGCACTGGACAGAATCATATCATTACAAATGCCCTCAGAGATCTACAAATCCAGCCTTCCCAGACAGATGGCCACCCATCTGCTTGAACTTTAGAGAAAGTCAACCAAAAAATGTAAAAATTTAAAAAAAAAAAAAAAGAGGAACAGGGAACTCGAGAAAATGCTAGCACTGAAGAGGCATTATCACTTCATAGATTTGCTTACAACAAAATACCATCTCAATAAAAAACAATGTTAAAATAAAATAAATAAAATATAATTTTAAAATAAAAAAATTATGTTAAAGGATTTATATTAAACATCTACATTTCATTTATGGTTCACAAGCTGACAAATGTTATTATGTTAGCATGTCGCCACTTCGTAATTCCTATCAAGCCAATCAACAAGGTCTCACACATCAAATGCTGAGCATGCACACAACTATAGACCAGAGTGAGCAGAAGGCTACAAAAAAATCATGCCTTTGCGAACCCACTCCTCTGTTGAACAGAAGATTTTCTATGATAGACAAGACACCTGTATTTCTAAAATGTGGACTGCAAAATTTTAACAGCTGCCACAAAATAGACAGTAGAAATAATTAACCATTGGGAACATGGCCTCTAATGTCACAGACACAGAACAGTGTTCTTTCTCTGCTTCTTATTAGCATAAAGGCATGGGCAAATTTTTTAACGAAGGCTTCCATTTCATCAATTATTAAATGAAGTAACCGAACCTACCCCTCAAAGGGTTCTTATAAGTACTAAACTAAATAATCCAAGTAATACCAGTGCCTATCTCAATAGTAAATATTTTGAATATGAATATTTGATTATTGAATATTTTGAGTACTGTTTAAAGTATTCAGTAAAGGCAAAAAAGGAACAGATGTGGGTTCTCTATCTCAATAGTAAATATTTTGAATATGAATATTTGATTATGGAATATTTTGAGTACTGTTTAAAGTATTCAGTAAAGGCAAAAAAGGAACAGATGTGGGTTCTTCTTCTGTTCTACTTTCAACATTGCTGAGAAGGATAATAGAGGAATAAAGACGTAACATGAATGACCACCACCAAACCTCAAATAAAGCTTACTGCTACCTCCTCCAAGGAAGAAGGAATTAAAAACAAAACAAAAATACTTCAATAATTAAGGAACTATTTTGATGTTATTATAACTGCCTCAATTTTAGAAGTAAGGAAACAGGTCCATCAAAGTTCAGGGAAGTCAGGTTTCCCAACTCTTAACCAATATTCTTCCTACCACCCCAAGCTGCCTTCCCTACAGATCTCTCTCTTCCTGCCCCTCAGCAAGGCCCAGAACTGTGCTAAGCAATAAAAAGGCCTCAAGGACAAGACCAGGATGACTTCTGGCCTTCTGACTGGCACAACTACATTATGGTGGTGTAGGTAACTAAGATAGTCACTAAAAGAGGATCCAGAGGATCCAGAGGTGACCTAGACAACTTCACCATGAGTTCAGTCTTGGACATGAGGAGTCTGAGGTATCTTGTGAGAACACCACGTAGAAGTACTGAATACACTGACACAAGTGAATATACTGACTTAAGAGCTCAAGAGAAGAACCTGCCTAAGGTGCCCAAACTGGACCTGTAGCCTCATTGAATCACCTCATAAATTCAGGTGGATGAAACAATCCTTATTTTCTCAATTCCAAGCCAAACTGAAGCACGAGAAGATATAAGGAAGGCATGCCTTTAAGAAAAAGAATCCTCATCTCAATTACTTTGAGATGAGAAATGTGTTTACTTGTTCTAGCACAAATTTCAGATCATCCTAAATAAAATCCCTAAATATAAATAACAAGTGATTTAATATGGTAACAAATAAAAATTATATAAAGAGATAGTCCTTGATATACTCCCTAGATGTCCTTACCTCTGATACACAAAGCCAGGGGTTGGTTACCAAACTTCCTACTCTTCAACTCAAAGCTGGTATTAACTCAAAGATGATATTAACAAATAAAGCAAATAACAAATACATGAGTGGATAAATGAATGAATAAACAGATAAATAAATATCTCTTCCTAGTGTTACCCTTGCATCGTCATGAAAATGTTAAATGCTTTTCTAAATCCTCTGACCCCTGTGACATAATACTGATATTCCAACAGAGTTCTAAATGCGCTTCCAGAGGTTTTGGGAAATGGTCCATTCTAAAGAGAATTGTTTATATTTTCAATAAAAATAAAGCAAATGTTACAACTCCTGTAAGAACAATTCCTCAGTCAAGACAGCATATGACAGAAAAATATATATAACAGTGACAATAATTCAACATCTGGAAGCCTGAGACAAACTTAATATAAAACCAGATTGCCAGGAGATCAACCTTTATGTGCAGGAGGTGACTTACTGCTCAGACATGGACCTTCAGTGATATTCTTCTGGGGCTAGTTAGCACCAGTGGTCAGAAAACAGCTCTACAAATGCCCAGGTCATAAGTTAGAAGCAGGGAAAATTAGTTTTGTTTTGGTGACTATATTCCATAACCATAAGGTATATTCACAAATATTTGTGCATTACAGGAACTTAGAAAGATGAATCAGCTCAGGAAAATGACAACCAGCAAAAACTGATGTGCTACGTCCCAGTTTTAAAACTACAACTCTCTCTATCTTCCAAATAAATGTTAACATCCTCAGATGTTAGCAAAAAAGTCACAAAAGAATATACACTCTTTGGTAAAGAACATAAATTGTAAAATTTTGAAAACAACTTGGCATTACCAAGAAAAATTGAACATGCATATAACCTAGGGCACAGCATCTCTACTCATGGATATATAGACTACAGCAAATATTATGGTCTGAACGTTTATATTCCCCCCCCCCCCCGATTTACACGTTAAAATCCTAACCCCCATGATGATGGTATTAGGAGGTGGAGCCCTCATGATTAGGATTAGTGTCTGTGTAAAGGAGACCCCAGAGAGCTAGCTAGCCCCTTCCATCATGTGAGGACATAGGCAGAAGGTGCCATCTATGAGCAAGTGGGCTCTCACCAGACATTGAATCTGCTGGCACTTTGATGGTGAACTTCCAGCCTCCAGAACTGTGAGAAATAAATTTCTGTTCTTTATATGATACCCAGTTTATGGTATTCTGTTACAGCAGCCCAAATAAACTAAGATAGCAGAAACTCTAACTCAGTGCTAAAAAGGGTTTTATAAGTATTTTGAAATACTAATCCCCTCATCCCTCAGAGCGAACACATATAGCCTGGGGACAGTAAAAACAGCCTCCTCCTCCAGTTACCACACTGCACCAAACAAATACTACCACTTTTAAAGTATTTGAAAGTATTTGTTTTGGAAGTCTTGCAAATTATTTCCAGAAAATGTGTTCCTAATAGCATTGTATATAATAGAAAAATGGAAACAACTTATATGGCAATCAAGGATAGAACAGACATAAATTGTGGCATATTTATACAACTGGAATACTATATAACAGTAAAAATGAATAATGGTATAATTTCAAAAATATACCATTGAACACAGGAACTCACAAAAGAATATATACAACCTGCTTCATTAATATAAAGTTCAAAAACTGACAACACTAAACAATATGTTTTCTGGTGATACATATAGAGGTGCTAAAACTATGAAGAAAACAATGTAAAGTTTAACTCAAAATTTATGAAAATAGTTCATAAGAGAGGGAGCCAGGGTTGCTCTCTGGAAGCAGACATAGGGGACCTTCTAAGGCAGTGTTTCCTGACCTTTATGAAGTCAGAGCACTCACAGAAGATGGTATTATTTGTAATATACACCAGGCAAATGGATTAGGCTACTAAACCAAAAGAAATTATTGTGGGGGCTGGCCAGTTAGCTCAGTTGTTTAGAGTATAATGGTGATAACACCAATGTCCAGGGTTTAATCCCTGTACCTGCCAGCCATCAAAAAAGAACAAAAAAAAGAGACTAGTCCTAAGGCTCTCACCAGCCTAGGTCCCACACAACTGCTGTAGTGGGGACCAACATTTAGGGAACAGCAGTAAGAAGTTCTGTTCTAAGATGCTGGTAACATTCTATCTCTCAAGCTAGGTGGTGAGCACAAAGAAGATTTATTATTTAAACTGTACACATCTCATATGCTCTTTTGAATGTTTGAAGTAGTTGCAAAAAAAAATTAAAATCAAGGTCTTGGTCAAAGTTACCTATAACCTGGCCCAAGCCCCATCAAGTCTGATCATTTACTGTTACTCCAGCAAGCTCAGTGCATCCTTTTCCCACAAATACCATGCTCTTCTCCCCTCTAAATTTTTGCTCATATAACTACCTAGAATGTATTTCCTCCTCTTCCCTACTTGCCCGTTTCCTACTCACCCTTCAGGTTCTAACTCAAGATCCAATCCTCAACTAGAAGGTCTTCTTTGACAAAATCCAGTTTCCACAAATCTCTTCATTAATGTCAATATCTCTTACGATCTGAACTTCTCATGAAACCCATTTCTGTAGTGCTTTGAATTGTTACCTGAATTTACAGGTGCTTCTACACTTTACAGCAGAAAAAGTACTGGACTTGGAACCAAAAAATGTGGATTCTAATCCCCAGCTCTAAGACCTCTGAAAAGTTTCTTTCACCACTCTGAGTTCAGTCTTCTCATCCATAGAATACCTCAAATCCATAAGGACCAAATTGATATAACACACATGAATTAAGCACCATTCAAACTTCTTATCAGTGCTCAGTAAATATTTATGACTATGACTGTTTGGTGGATTTCAAACCTACACTATAAGGACATAGAAACCAGTAACTGTTTCATGCACTATAAGAGAGAAATGAGATCTTTCATGTAAGTAAATTTCTAAATAACTGAAGCTTACCTCTTTAAGTGCTATACTCTTGGGATATTTTTTTTTCCCCCATTTTGGATGAAAACCTTTGTAAAGTGCAAATTATAGATTCCTTTCTTACACATAAGATACATAAGAGCTTTTAACCTTTCAATAATGACTTAGGGTCAGCATTATGAATTTCTATCATTCTATTCCAATATATACAGTGACTCACTAAGCTGATGTGTACAGAGCTAATTATTGTGTATTCAGATTATGCCTGCTTTTGTACTTCTCCTTCTACCCCACCATCAAATTATTAACACCTCTGTCTAATAAGTCTATTTCGTATTTATTTTGCTACTCATAATTCTGAGAAACCAAGTAACAGTAAACAGGTCCCTGGGCCGGCCCGGTGGCGCACTGGATAGTGCGCCGCTTGGGAAGCGCGGCGGCGCTCCCGCCCGAGGGTTCGGATCCCACATACGGACCGGTTCCCGCTCACTGGCTGAGCGAGGCGCGGGGGCAACACCGAGGGTTGCAATCCCGTTGCCGGTCCCCGGCCCGGTACGGGCGCAACACTGAGGGTTGCGATCTGTTGCCGGACACGGAAAAAGACAAAAGACAAAAAAAAAAAAACAGGTCCCTTTTGCTGCCTTGGATGCTAACGGGCCAATTTTCCAGGCTGGCTCACTGAAGTTATGTTCAAGATCACTGAAGTGGCTGGATAGTCAAAGTTATCACACTTCTTTCATAGCTTATCTCATACTCACCAAGCCCTATGCGTATGTGCTCAAAAATTCCTGAGGAACTCAAACTGCAAACTTCACTGGTGACCTACTGATGCAAGTCAATATTACCTTCATATATGGATAATAATAATTGCTATCACCATGCAGCACATCTGTGCCAGGCACTTTAAGAAAGTATGCATTTGCAATATAAAGGAAACCACCCTTGGGAACTGTTCATAAGCACAGCAGCAAAACTTACCTGCAACAAAATTTAACAGATTTCTAGAATTGCTGCTTTGCCAGAAAAGATTTTTATATAATTGTAGTAATATAAGCGACTGGGTGACTGGTGCAGCTGTCTATGCTTTAATAAAAAGAGCAGTTAATAGAGTTCTATTAAATGGAGAGTGTGTGAAGAGGAGTTTAAGACTGACAGTGGAACTTCTGGAAATACTTAAAAATCTGATCAGTGAACAAGCATTCTTAGTAGTTTTGTGCAAACCATAAGGTCATGTTTCCTTCTTACCTACTACTAACTCCAGTCTTATAAAGACCTGTTCGGGGCCGAGCCAGTGGCGCACTTGGGAGAGTGTGGCGCTGGGAGCGCTCACAGCACTCACTGCCTGAGCGCGGTGCGGCCGGTCTCAAAAAGGACAAAAAAATAAAATAAATAAAATAAAAATAAAAATAAAGACCTGTTCGTAAAGAATAAATAACACAGTAGTAACTATGTACATTTTCAAGAGGCATACCTCACTGAATTGCTGGAACAAAACAGATGGCAAAAAATCCTGAGGGTGCAAATCCACAGGAGGCCCCATCCAGTTACTCTGAACAAAAAGTTGCAAACTGCTCACACCAAGTATGAACATCAGATGTTGTCTGCACAGAAGAATGGTTAGAGAAATAAATATGAACCACTATCACTGTATAATCTCAAATATGCTATTTCATTTCAGTTTTAAGAAAAAGATATCAACCAACATTTAATGAGACTATCCTAGAGAATTACCAAAAAAAATTTCTGAATCTTAAACAACTTACATCTGTGATGTCCAATATTATAACTATGAGCCACATATGGTTCTCTTAAATATAAATTAATTAAAATTAAATGGAATTTAAAATTCAGTCCCATAGCCACACTGTCCATATTTCAAGTGCTCAATAGCCAACGTGGCTAGTGGCTACAGTATTGGGCAGCACAGATACAGAACATTTCCATCATCATAGAAAATTCTCTCGAGCAGCAATGATTTAGATCCTGAATGGATACCTGTAACTTTTTCTTGCATTCTATTTAACAACTCTGGCATTGCCAGAAGATGTATGGAAAAATGACTTTATACAAAAGAAAACTGACAACTAAAAGTTGTTTCTAACATTTTACTGATCTTATACCACCAACTGGTAGAATGAAAAGTCCCCTATAAATCTGACTGGAACCTCTTTTTTCAGTCCTGCATTAGCTTAAGACAGGGTGGGCAAACTTTTTTTTATAAAGGGACAGATATTAAATATTTTTAGCTTTGTATGTCATGTGTGTTTTTTCCCAACCCTTTAAAAATGTAGAAACCATTCTTAGCCACTTCGGCCCACCTGCTGTAATTTGCCAACCCCTAAATTAAGACATAAATAGGTGGGGATTCAATTCCAGCAAATAACAGCCAGGGAATCCTGGAGTTTCATTCTGAAGAGAAAGTAACAGCAGTCACCCTTTTCTTTCCATGGCCTGTTGGCCCTTCCTCAAAAGGAAAGTTCTTTAAGAGAAAAAAAAAAAAACAAGTCTACAAGCCAATGGTAGCCAGAATATAAATGTTTGGATACAGCAGAACAGGGAGCAGAGCAAAGAATAAGCAGCACTAGAGAAAAGAGGTGACGAAAGAGCCTGTTTGCAATTAGAAGTTAGGAAATTTGGAAAAAAATAGGAGTGCAGCAAGATCTTAAAGTCTTAATATAACTGTCCTAACTAAAAACCAAAATCCCTAAGGTGCATTGAGAAGACAGTTTAATTTTCAAATGCCTCAAAATGAGTCAACTAAAATGTCTCTTTTCAGCTTTATGTGACAAGCTAGAATTCTGGTCTACCAGCAAATAATGAATGCATTTGTGTGTGTGTGTGTTTTAATGGGCACCCAAGGCTAGTTGCTATGATAGTGCACACACATCAGAGAGAAAAATAAAAATCAGGGACAACATTGCAGGAATGTAAAATATCAGTAAACCAGAAAAACGAAAAAAAAATAATAATTTTATAATGAAACAAAAAGCCTTTAGTAACACTCTGCTATGGGTTGAATGTTTGTCCCCTCAAAAACTCATGTTGGAATTTAATCCAAATATGGTATTCGAAAGGTGAGGCTTTTAAGAGGATTGGATCATGAGGACTATGCCCTCATGAATGGATTAATAGTTATCAGGGAGTGACTTTGGTGGCTTTATAAGGAGAGGAAGTGGGTATGTTGAGAAGAGCTCCTAAGAAAAAAAAAGAGCTCTTGCCATCCTCACCATGTAGTAACCTGCATTTCCATAGAACTTTGTATAGAGTCCCCACCCAGAAGAACACCCTCATCAGATGCACGCCCTGGACCTTAAACTTCCTGGCCTCTAAAACTGTAAGAAATAAACTTCATTTCTTTATAAATTAGCCAGTTTCAGGTATTCTGTTCTGAGCAACAGAAAACGGACTAATACACATTCTTTTGTGAACTGCTTACGGATACTGGTTATGTCTTATCCATCTTTACAACCTCAACACCTAGCACAGTAGTCAGTTTATTTGTTGAAGGACTAAATGAAGCCATTCCCCAGAAATAATGGTAAAATAAAATTATACACATTTTAAAGATAATTAGAACTTGACATGGTTGGCACAGAGAAAAGACAAATATCAAATCTACAATGGTAAAATATAAGTCACTGAAAGGCTTAGGTTTCACTGCTATATAATGATTCCCTATACTTAATCCTATAAAATTACATAGACTTTAATGGAAGAAGGTAAGCCAAGGGTTCCATAATAAAAACATCTCTAGAGGGCCGGCCCGTGGCTCACTCGGGAGAGTGCAGTGCTGATAACACCAAGGCCACGGGTTCGGATCCTATATAGGGATGGCCAATTGGCTCACTGGCTGAGCGTGGTGCTGACACCACCAATCCAAGGGTTGAGATCCCCTTACCGGTCATCTTTATAAAAAAAAAAAAAAAAAATCTCTAGACGTTTTTGGTCTTTAGAAAGATAACAATCGAGGACCGGCCCCCTGGCTCACTCCGGAGAGTGCAGCGCTGATAGCACCAAGGCCGCGGGTTCGGATCCTGTATAGGGATGGCCAGTGCGCTCACTGGCTGAGCGTGGTGCGGACGACACTGTGCTGAGGGTTGCAATCCCCTTAACGGTCAAAAAATAAATAAATAAATAACAATCCAAAAATAATAAAAGTAGTTATAAGTACCACGCAGCAATCTAGAAATAACAAGATTAAATGTGTCTGTTTTCAAGTTAAAAGGAAATAAGGTCTAAAGTCTTGCCTGTGGCTAAAACCTATCAGACCTAAGCATGTGGAAGCGTAGCAGTTACCAGCCAATTATGTGCCAATCTCACATATGAAACGCTTTTATCCTAAACCACTTTATTTTTTCATCCTGGATGGTCTTCTGAACAGGAGTTCTCACATACATTACTTGGTATGTGAGACCTGAGTAAACATAAAGCCAGGTTTCTCAACAACTGCTAAAGTGGCCCGGCCTTACAAGGTCAAGATGTTATTAAATGTATTCAGAGTTTGTTTATCTGTAAAATTTTCAAATAAAATTCTACCTTTCCATTTCATCCAGATCTGAAGAGTAATCCAGGAATGTTACTATCTGCTTCTCCAGGTAGCTGTCAATCTTTTCTTCAGTCATGGTTGTTGAATTAAAAATATTTTGAGTCATTGCATTTGAGAATATGGCCTCATAGCTCCCTTCTAGCAGCAATTGTAGGAAAGATCCATTCTCTGTAATATAAAAAATTAGTGCAGCAATCCAAAAGAAAAAATTGTTTTCATATTGTAAGAATAACACTATAACCATCTTAGTGTGCCGAAATATATACTTTGAATGTTTGCTGTATATTAATCACAAGACATTGAGCAAATCTCCATCATCCTACAAACATCATCTTGACTCGAATTAGAAGCCCACCCAAACTGACTTATATAAGCAGCGAGATAGAAGTCAGACCTAGAAATACAAGTAATATTCCTCATTAGTAGTTATTATTACTCTTTTACTAGGAAATTCACAAAGATTCCCACTGACAACAGAAAAGTTTCCTTAGCCAGGGTTTTAAGAGTTTTCACAATCTGGCTTCTCCTTCCCCACTATTCTCCTTCATGAAAAGTCACTCTAAGAATGCTGGTTCACTCACTGTTCCCTAATATCCCACGCCATGACGCTTGCACCTGTGATTTCTCCTGCTGAACTCTTCACCTGACAAGTCTTACCCTTGAATCAAAAGAATGCTGGTTCACTCACTGTTCCCTAATATCCCACGCCATGACACTTGCACCTGTGATTTCTCCTGCTGAACTCTTCACCTGACAAGTCTTACCCTTGAATCAAAAATCAGTTCAAATCTGACTTCTTCCATGAGGCTTTTCCAGACCACTAGACTTCTCATCAGACTTCAAACTTTTTCCCTCCTCAAGCACCTACTATGTACGTATACACACACACACACACACACACACACACACACACACACAGTAGTTATATACTGTCCGTTATTTTTCTTGTGTCCAGCCTAAAATCCCACAACCAGAAGTGCCTATATCCTAATAGTAAATGCGCCTTTTAACACTTATCTCTCCGGCAAGTGTGCATTGCTCACAAGAATTACATCTTTGCTGCCTCCTTGCAACTTTTCTGCCTACCAGCTGTGTGACCTTGAATAAATTACTTAACCAAGCTGCACTTAGATGTCTTCATCTGCAAAATGAGATTAAACGTAGTCTCTACTACGTGTCTATTATAAGGATTAATGACTGAATACATGCTAAGGGCTTAGAAAAAAAGAAAACAAAAAACTGGGCGATGAGAAATTCTGGGTAAAGACAGCTGCCGAACACCACGCCCAACACGTCAAAGGACTCAACAACCCAAAGCCTTAAGGAATCGCTAGATTGTGTTGGGGGGATACGGAGTGAGGGATGAGAACCCAGCCGCCGCCACCCCTTTTCTTCACAGCTCTCACACGGGCCTACGTCCCTCACAGGTGAGCCTTTCTCACCTGAGCCGGCGATCCCCTCCTGCTCCCACTGCTGCTGCTCAGCCTCAGTGGGGAAGCCCCTCAGAACTGCCAGCTCTGGGGTCCACATCACCCCAGACATCGCTGCAGACAAAACGAGCTTCTACGAGGGTCACACAGAAGCCAACAAAAGAAAGCGAAAGGAGGAGTGTCCAAAGATGCCGAAGCCTAGTGGCGACAGTTACCGAAAATATACCCACAGCCTTAGGACCCCATGTGCGGATACCGGCACAAGGAGGCGGCCATGACAGCCGCGCGGGGTACCCTGGGACAAGACGCGCTATGTGGGGCGGCTTCCCCCTTGGAGAAGAAGCCGAGCCTGGTACTGAGCATGCCCGGTGGGTATGCCCCGCCTCGGGGCGGGGTTGAGCGCCGCGCCGATCGGAAGTGGGCGTTGCCGCCAGCTGCGGAAGTAGCGGAGGACTCGGAGAAGGGTGCGCCGCCCGCCGAGCACAAGCGTTCAGGTTCAGTACAAGACCGCGGTGTTCGCCAGCAGCGACTTCACTGGAAGGGCCAGCGCGGTGACTCTTAGGTTCCGAACCCTCCGGACTACCTGACCAAGAGCACAGTCCGCGAAAATACGTGCAGGCCCTTACCCCTAACGTATGGGCACCATTTGAAGAGGTTAGAGACCCGCTGAGGTGGACTGTGAACCCCAGGTTAGAGCCCCGTCAGCATCGAATAGGTCTTTTTTTCTTTGAGGAAATGAAAGCGTAAGAAAAGTATCTGGTTTTGACGCTGCCACTCCATTAATCATGACCGAGTGGGAAGCCTGGCCTGGCCGCTGTTGCAGGGAGTTTTTGGAGCACAGTCTGTGAACGCAGAAGAGTGAGCCCAGGGTTGAAGACAGGAAACTGCGTGGGGACGCGCCAGCCGTTCCCGCGTGCTTGCTGCTGACCACAGAGCTGGTGCCTTGTTTGCATGTACTTTAATTCTCATAGCAGCACTCCTAGCAGAATACCAAGACACTGCGAGCTAGGACTACCCAGTGCGGGGCTTTGTCCCAGTGGCTTGGCGCCTGCCTGCACTAGGATATGCCATGCAGGACCCAGCAGAAAGCTGCAGGGTAACACTGACCACACAAGATTCTTAGAGGAATTAAGTGCAACAGCTCTCTGAAACAGCCTGGCCAGTACCCGGCTGCAAGGAGGAAGCTAAGTAATTCTTAATTCACTTTCTTCCTCAGTACCCAGAGCTACTCCAGACTGTGGACGGAAGAGGAGCTCAGCTCAGTTCAGCCGCTGCCAGCAGGTGCCAAAGAAAGCCAGACCTGTGAGTGGAGAAGAGCTGATGCCCTAGAATGTCTTCTCACTGAGAAGTAATTAACAGCTATTTGTGTAGGGAATGATATTTGGCCAAAGATGTCCCTAAGACAGGCCCGGAGAAGCAGAATGTATTTGGTTGAAGTAGGAATGTTGATAGAATTCAAATCAATCTGGGAATAGAACAATACAGCTACCTTCCTTCATGAAAAGCAACCGAACCATGTAAGGTTTAGTTGTTCAGAAACTGCCCTGGCGACTGGAGGACAAAGCCAGGTAGTGCAATTATGTTTCCCCAGGTCTTACTTTTTCCCTGGGACTCTTAGAATGTGATTATTCTAATTGCTAGCATGCTTTCCTGAAGGGTGTGCTGCTTCTCCCATCATATTCGTCCAAATCAAAGCAAGGTCCTTCCCTTTGGTAGGCCTTAATTAGCTACGAAAGGATAAGGCATTCAACAAGACTTCGCTAGATGCGATATGGGTACAAAGGAGACTAAACATAGTTACTAGGAACAATGCATTCTGGCTCACACAGTCTGGAGTTGATGCGACCAGGCCTCTTTGAGTACCATTTCTCCCTCTGCTCTGCAGCTCTCTTCTGGATGCTGTCCTGTCCTTAGAATCACACAAGGGGGCTCCTCCCTGGGCCCTGTGCTTTAAAGGGCCCCATATATCACAAATACACAACATAAATCAAAGAATACATGGGAGCTCCTGTCACTCAAGATCCAAAGACGCAAGGTGACCTTGATTTATACTGTTCTCTTGATTATATACTGTTCTCTTGACTTATACTGTTCAGGCTCCAGAGAAAAGGCATTTCCACATCTCTGTTTCCTTGAAATAAAACTCTTCTGAGTCTAATACTTTGAAGATTTGTGGGAAACCGGCACTGCTGAATTGAAAATTCAGGGATGATATGAGTTGCAGAAGCTCTTAGGTAAGTGGCTAGTCCGATGGTAGTGGGTTATCAGCACTTATTAACATTAATGTCACTAAAGTTGGTACACAACCCTCTACTATTAAATTTGACTGACTTTAAAAAAAAAGAGCTGGTGGGTTAGCTCACTTGGTTAGAGCAGGGTGCCGATAACACCAAGGTCAAGGGTTGGAACCCCTTACCAGCCAGCAGACAAAGCAAAAACAAACAACAAAAGACAAACTCTTATGTAAGAGAAAAGACATATTAATTAACTTGTTAAGTCTACCTCTCAGCATGAGTACAACAGATTCTTACATACTTGTCATTTCCAAGTAGCAATGCACATCTAATTTCTTACAACTCTTTCATTCTATTTTTGGATCTGGAAATACTCATGAAATAGAGTTTTATTTGCAACAGATAGGGACACTGGCTTGGAAACATTTTACAATTTTAAATAATTCATATTAGATGAAACATTTAGGGCTGGCCAGTTAGCTCAGTTGGTTAGAGTACAGCCTTCTAACCCCAATGTCATGGGTTTGGATCCCTGTACCAGGAGGAAAAAAAAATAGATGAAATATTCAAATGAGAGATAATATGTTTGAAACATGTTACCAATTCTTACGTTAGCAATTAGATGACATCAAATACAGGAACTGCTGGGTTTTGTTCTATAAAAAAATAAGATTGAAGTAAATATAAAAAACATTAAAATGTTAGCTTTCTTTAACCAATATTGATTTAAATTTTTGAAAATCATTGATTATACTTTGTATTTTGACTTTTAATTTTAATAACTTAAATATTTTAGAAAAAAAATGAACACATGAAATCTTTTTTCCATTTACTTAAATTTGTATTTTTGATTAAAGTACATTCAAACTTTATATACTTTGAATAAAATTACATGGTATTTTTTAATTCTTTAGTTCATTAGTGTCAACAGAATGAGGAAACTTGATTATTATACTGGGCTTCCTGATGGCCCCTAAGATGTCAGGTCCTATAATCTCTCTTACCTTCTTTGGAAAAAGGGTCTTGGCAGATATGATTAAGTTAAGGATTTTAAAATGAGCACATAATTCTGGATGGGCTCAAAATGCACAAGAGGGAGATTATACACACACAGGAGAAGAATGTGTGACAATGGAGGCAGAAATCGGAGTGATGCAGCCACAAGCCAGGAAATGGTGGCAGCCCCCAGGAGTTGGAAGAGGCAAGGAACAGATTCTCCCCCAGCCTTCAGATGGTGTGTAGCCCTACCCCCACCTTGATTTGGGACTTTTGTGAGAGAATAAATTTCTGTTATTGTAAGCCACCAAGTTTGTGGTAGTTTGTTATAGTAACTATAGGAACTAATATAAGTTTTAATTATAATTAATGATTTTATAGAAATTAATGAAAAATAAGTATATTTTATGAAACAAATATATAATAAGCATGTTAATTATAGTGTCTTTATATCATTACTTATCCAAACATTACTGGCCCATCAACAGAATACTCCAACATGCCCAATAATTGAATTATTTTGATGACTATCACATATAATGACAAAGTTTAACATGTTGTATTGTTTCATTATTTGTCAAGTAGGGTGATGTTTCACTTAATAATTTGTTAGTTTGATTGATAACCTAAATATTTAGACAAATGGTATGTGCATATTCATGTGTACCTTTGCCTTTTGCCCTGTAGGTGTTGTGGGAAGGCTTCTATGTGACTTGGAAGAGACTGGAAGAGAGGAGGATTCTCCCTTCCAGTTTTCCTCCCTGTCCACTCAATTCCAGTTTTGGGTGTGAAGACACTTCTCTTATCCAGGTGATCAATGTGACCTGCCTGTGCTTTGATGCACTAAGAGGATAGCCACTTCAAAATAGTATCAGAGCCAGAAACTTCCTATCACAAAATTGCACACATATGGTATGGGGAGGGCTTTCCCTGCTCAGGTATATAGGAGAAATGGCTGAAGTTTGGGAAGGGTGTCAAGTTTAGGGGAAAAACAAATAGAGATAAAGATTAGACAGAGAGAATTACCACTTTGGGGAGAAGTTACTGGTAGTTCTCAAACCTGGCTGTCCATTAGAATTACTTTGAGAGTTTCATGATCACCTGGTTGGAATCCACCCACACTTCTGAGGGTTGGGGAGGTTTCAGTAATTTTTAAAGCTGCTCAGGTGAGTCTAATAAGCCAGGGATGAGAAACATGAACTAGTATGTACCAGATACTATGCTGAGCATTTGACTTAAGTTATGTTGTTGATACTTATACCAACTTTGTCAGGCTGGGTCACAGACCCTTCAAACCCGTCCTGTGCAGAATGGGCCACAGACCCCTCATATGCTGTGCAGACTGGGCCACAGACCCCTCATATGCAGGTCATGAGCTAGGTAATCGGAAAGATCTTGGGAGCCATTGGCAAGTTGACATGCTTTATTCTGACACAAGCTCAGCCCCCAGCAGATCAGAGCTTTTATACTAGAGTCAGATAACTAAGGAACACATGGGTGTGAGTCAGATAGCCAAAGAACACCTGGGCACACACGTGCAATTAACATATTTCCAACAGACAGGCTGAGTCATGCTCAGCCGGATATGAGGTGAGGGAGACTGACCAATCTGTCTCCATTTTCCTCACAAACATAGTGAGATAGGTATTATTATTTCCAATCACAGATGAAGACATCGAACTCACAGAAGCCCTGTGCCTTCTCCAACCAGTGATCTGAGGAGTCAGGATGCCTCAGGCTTGTTTCCTTTCCTCTGTAACTCAACAGAAAATAGTTGAGTTGGATTTAGAGTGTAAACTTGTAAATCAGCCAGAAAGTACCAAAAATTCTCACATCTAGAGCTAAGAGATGGTAAGCCACTTTAGGAGAGAAGTGGGACTTTTAATGAAAGCCATTTTTATATTGAGAATAACATTCCCACAAATTTAGAAAACGACTGACTGTTCTGTAAGACTCTAACCCTGATCAGTCAACCAATGACAACCTACCTCAGTAAATACTCTTTTGCAAGCCAATTAAACAGTATCAGCCTCTCGCTTCTGAAAGTCAGACTGTCAAGGATGGACTCATTCAGATAAACATGCTGCTGAATGCCAGCCAGTCAATAAGTGTCACCTAAGTAGCCACATTTAAGATAAAATCGACCCTTTATTCCTCAGAAAGCCTGCAGTCTCTGAACTCTGCTCAACCCAAAAGCCCTTTTTTAGATCAACACTGCTCTGCTGGAAGAGACTGTACCTGACCAGCATAATTTTTCCTTACTATTTGTTACTGTATGTTATGTGCTGAATTTGTTCCCCCCAAATTCATAGCTGTGTGCCTCAAGTTCAGTGTCTCTCACAGGATGCTATTGTACACAAGCTTCAACTTCCAGAGGATCTTCCTCCAAGTTTCCTCCTGTGGCAGGCCTGAAGTTCTCACTAGCTGCTGGCCAGAGACAGCCGTTCCTTCCCACATGGGCCTCTCTATAGAGAAGCACACGGCTTGGCAGCTGGCCTCTTTCAGGGGGAGAGGCCCAATACAGAGGCTACAATCTTCTGTAACATACTCTTAGGAGTATCCCTTTACTTCTACCATTTTCAGTTCATTAGAAGCACATCTATAAGTGCAGTCCACACCAAGGGGAGGAGAGGCAGGGGTGACTGGGGGTCACCTGGCTGGCTGTCCAGCACATCTTACCATAGTGCTGCCTGCTTTGCTTCTCTGATGTTTGTCTATTGGTGCAAATTCTCATTTCCTGTGTTTTTCTTTTGTCCTGAATTGTCTTTTTCTGTAGAATGTATAAAGGAGTGTTCCATAGGGAATGTATAGAAACACGGGTCCAATAAGTCTCCAGTCCAATCCAAGCTGACCATGAGGTACGTTAAATGGATGACCGACTTGTGAAAAAGCCATTGGTCAAACTTAGCCTTGGGTCACCTGTAAAACCTTTTCAAGGGCACTCTCTGCCTTGTCAATTTGTGAAAGAAGGTCACTTTGTTTAATATGATTCTAGGGCCAGTGATTATTGGGTCATTAATCATTCAGTCTATTACTGGGCCTCCACTTGGTTGGGCCATTTGAGATATTGCCACCAAGCACACAGTTAACCAGCCCTAACGGCCTCATTCTTGGTGTATAATAGGTTTGTCTACATCAAAGTCTAAACTTCTTACTGGAAGAACTACTTTTATATAAAGTCACACCATCATCCTAACTCGTGCATTTTCCTTGGTAAATGAAAAAATTAAACAAACAAATCAAAGCTCTTTTTTTCTTAGAATAAGAGCGGCCATTATAGGAAGCTTCTGTCATGTCAGAAAGAATAAATTAATGTTTAAGAGGTATTCTAAAAAAAATTAGGAGACAAAACACCAAATAGACAATAGTCAGCTTCTCTAATTAGCAAAGTAAGGCCTGAAAACAAAATTTTAACTCCAAGATAGTCTCAAAAAACTTTGTAACCTTCAGAAATCTATCCTCCTTGAGGTTCTTCCTTGTTTTATTCAGCTTTCCTGGATTTTCTAATTAGCTCTTCTTTCAGAGTTTTCACAGAAAAAAAGTTTGAAACTACATTATACTTAATCAGATCAACTCTGAATTGCAGGAAACCGAATGTATAGATTCCTGCCATTCCTGTGTAGAATATGGCCACAGGGCAGATAAGCCACGAAGTTAACCTTAGGCCCCCTCCCAAGGCTCTGAGAAGAGTCCTGACAATATAATCACCTGATCATAAGATTGTGTAAAATTTGCAAATGTAATAGAAAGTAGACTAATGATTGCTTAGGACTGGTGGTGAAGCAGAGGGATGGGACAGTGACAGCTAAAGGATGAGAGATTTCTTCTTGAGGTGATGAAAATGTTCTAAAATTGACAGTGGTGGTGGTTGCATGTATCTGTGACTATGCTAAAAACCACTGAATTGTATACTACAAATGGGTAAATTATATGGTATGTGAAATATAGCCCAATGAACATTTTTTTAAAAAACATAAAATATTTTCCCATCAATCGGTTAAGTTCATCTACCTACACCTCAGATATGCTTCTTTCTCCAATCAGGTGGCATTGGAGTGATTGTGGTCATTTGAGGCATCTAGGAAGTTGAGTTGGGGATGTATTTAATTTTGGTTTAGTAGGATAGCTTTTTGCAGTTTGCAGTCATTTACATGGATAATTAAGGTATTGCTAACCATTGCAGTGTAGGAATGGCTTCCAGGAATACCATTAAAGCCCTGTGTGCTGACTTACCAGTTATGAAACGAAAATGTAGGCTGGAGGTCTTAGGAAGAAATAAGTAAATGGGTTGTGTGGTGTTCTACACCAGAGGTAGGTGAGTGAGGAAAAAGAAACAAGCTAATGAGATGTACAGAGCCAGAAGCTTGTCTTCCAATAAAATTCTCCCAATAATCAGACATCTAAAATGATAAGAAGACTCAATCCTCATCAGGGCTTGGTCAAAATGGAATTCCACCCCCATCAGGAATATACTTTATTTTTATACAGTATATCATACTAAATCTACCATGTTTTTTAAATTTTTTGATGGGAATCACAGAATATAGAATTTATGTGTTGGTGTGACACAAACCTGCAGTAGTACTATAAACAGTATCCATGTCCAGGGAAGAGGTTGCATGTTTTATGCAGCCTTACTATCAATAATAAAAAACAAATTTTGATCAACCATGCTGGAAGAAACAATGAATTGTCTTTCTATTCAGTAGTTAGAAAATACTGCAAAAATGTCAGTCACATGAAGAGGAGATCAAATTATTGCAGCCAAAATATATAAGGAAAAACTATTATAAAGATGTATCTGTTAATTAAATAATAAAATATTATATTTCTGCATTTTGTTATGTTTGTGGCATTTTAATTTATTCTGGTATCTTTTCTTGTTTTAAATAAATATCCATTTGTGTAATATTTTTAAAAAACTAAAAACAAAACAAAGAAATTATTTTTTTTTTTTAATTTATTTTATTTATTGAACCAAAATAGATTATACATATTTTGGGGGTTGAACATTGAGATATGTTGATTAAACCAATATTACTAGCATATATATTGTTACAAATTGTAATTATTTTTTATACCCCTTGTGGAATCTCTCCCCTTCCCCCATTCCCTCCCCCTCCCCCCTCTAATTGCCCTAGATTTCTTCTCTCCTTCTGGAAGAATAATGGTTACTCGGTTAATTTGTTGCTTAGATGATCTGTCCAATGCCAAGAGATGTGATTGGGCAGATGCTTCTGTTACTCTGAAATGGGTTTTGTGGAAAGAGACATCCTCTTCTTTTCTTTGTCTCTGCTGGTGACTTTCCTTG